CCTAATGCTATCTAGATAAAAAGAGTTGTGGAGAACAATGATATCCCATATCCTGATGGGATATGACAAAGAAGAAGGGGGAAATAGTTTTCTCTTCCTTGCCCTCTTTTTCTCCAACTTCTCTCCATTTACCCAGTCAGTATATTTCTTGGTTGAGATTCATAAATATCAAATCCAATCATTTTAAAAATTAATCATCACGAGTACGTAGAAGACTGAAGATTTGGAGGCACCAATATTAATACAAATGGCCGATGTATGACTCACACGGCAAGCTATTCTTGCCATCGCGTGTGTGGATCTCATAAACGAATTCGCAATTCCGTCCTACGGAAATTAAAATTCATATTTTATCAAACACCGTATCATACCCTTATCACAATTCTAATTTCTGCTTTACCGACATGGTTTATTTATTTATTTTGTATAGATTTCTATATCGATCCTCCAGATAGATTTACAGTCACAAGGCTTTTGTAGATTATTCACTAGACCAGTATAGTACTCGTCAAAAATAACAGGTTTGTTTTTGAATCAGTACTTTAGACGTTTCTGTAGTACCTGTGAACTTTATACAGGAACAAGGCAACACACGCTGACACTTCTGACTAGAATTTGTGTAATATCTGTACACATTTTATATATAATATATATATATATATATATATATATATATATATATATATATATATATACAAGCAAGATGAGAACGAATAGAGTACAGTTGCAAAGTTCGTAATATTTAATTTAAAATAGGGCTCAATACAAAGTTGACTAATATTGTATATATATATATATATATATATATATATATATATATATATATACAGGTGAGTTGAGAACGAATAGAGTACAATTCCAACGTTCGTAACATTTAATTTAAATGGCACAATACAAATTAGAGCAATATTATTTATTTCAGGATATTACATCGAGAACATGTCAAAATCGCTACACTATTACAGTCGCGTTTCGATGCGTATCAAATGCGTCTCATCAGGCGATTGCAAATTACTGGCGACCAACCTCTTTTACGAAAAAAAAGAAAAAGTGGGTGTATATGGTTTGTGGGATTTACTCAGATCAACCAATCGAATAACGTGGGTCATATTCGATTAGTTGATCTGAGTAAAGCCCACAAAGCTTATACATGTCATGAAGTTAAATTAAGGGGAAGTGGGGTGTGCTATTATCTGTATCATTTTTAGTGCTGGTGGAGAACGTAAGAAAGTGGATTAGTGCTTTTCTCCAGGACATTACCTCTGCCAGACTCGCAAGCTGTTCATCGTTATCAATTCCGTTACGCCACCGCGCATCTATATAAATGGGCAAATTATACTGGCCGTGGAAAAACCGGTGTAAATGCCTTGGATCGAGATTCGTATTATGTGTGGATTCTTAGAATAAATACCGGTTATTTTTACACTTAAAAATGGCTTCAGATTTTTTTTTTTACTGTGCCGCATCAGAGTACTGAGATTTCTCACAAATGAGAATATATATATATATATATATATATATATATATATATATATATATATATATATATATATATATATATATATTCAAGTTTTGACGTACATCTAGCCTCAGGCAACAGACATGTAATTTTGCCCAGTCAGAAACATTAAAATCCCAAACACTGGTTTCTCTTGAGAATATTTATTAAGTCTGCATGATTCCAAATAAAACTCATTAATTTCTGGCCGCAATGAGAAAAAGTTCAAATCATTTTCCCCACCCCTTTACGCAAATAAAACAAACACGCACATACACACACACACACACATGAATAGTCGAGTGCAAAAACACAACATATATGACTTGACGATTGGATTCAAGCATGAAACAGAATGCCGATCTCTGGGTGACATCAATGGCCCACTTTTATATGTACATACGCTCTGTCACTGATACAGAGCACTTTAACCCTTAACCTTTTAAAATATAGCATACCTTAAAACTATATTTTATCATATATATATATATATATATATATATATATATATGTATATATATATATATGTGTGTGTGTATGTGTATGTGTGTGTGTGTTTGTGTGTGCGTTTGTTATTTCAAACGTTATTAAGGTAGATACTTCGTATTTGAAATGGACCCTCATTTTCACTTATTAAACAGAGTTGCTATCGACCTGCAAATTCGAGAAATTTTACTGTAATAATGTATTATTAAGTAACAAAATGTCGGATTAGAAATAAATCCATTGTATATATATATATATATATATATATATATATATATATATATATATATATATATATATATATAAAATAAATATATATATATATATATATATATATATATATATATATATATATATATATATATATATATATATGCAGTTATGTCCAGAATTATTCGCTCTTACTGAATATTTGCACATTTTCTAAGGAAATGTAAGTATCTGTAAGAACTTACTGAATTTTCTATAAATACTTTATTCCATATTTAGTCTCGAATAAGTCGTGAAAACTTTAGAAGTTTTGATCTATTATATTCATAGTTATCGATTTCTAAAAGTTATCGATTTATAGTTATCGATTTTTTTTTTAAGTTGGTGCAGTTCAAAATTATTTGCCCCCCCCTTATGGGAATTATGAAATAATATGACTCTGTTGCAATTATAATGAATTTTTCTTAATTTTATATTTAATACAAAGATTTTACGAAAATGAAATAGTATTGACCTCATTCTATAACATTCTAAAACATAATTAAGCCAATATATGAATGCCACGTACCATTCATTCGTTTTGCAATCATAGCGAAGATGGTTGAACTTGACAAGAAGCTCCGAATGAAGATAGTTGATGCGTACAAAGAAGGTGATAGATATACAACACTTTCCATGTTTAAATTTTCCTTATATCCATAAATTGTAGCATTATAAATAAGTAAAACAAGACTCATTGTGTTGAGAATAAATGAAGGACTGGCAGAAAACGTTTCATTTCTGAGAGAATGGGAAGGAAAATTGTCAAGGATATCTCGAATAAGGACATTATTAATGATGTAAAGACATCAGTGTAAAATGTATCGACAAAGACAGTCCCTAGATGTTTTCATCGATCGGGACTTCGAGCTTGCCGCCCAAGGAAAACTCCCTTGCTTAAAGCTAAACACCTCAAATGTAGATTCACTTATGTTAGAAGCCATCTCAAACATGGCAGTAAATATTAGAAATCTGTTTTATTGCAGGATGAAACCAAACTAGAATTGGTCGCAGGAATTCCCGTTATGTATGGAGGGAAGTGAATGAAGCTTCCAAACCAAAAAATACCCTACCTCCAATTAAGCAGGGTGGTGGGAGCATTCTGCTTTGGGAATATTTTGCTGCTTCTGGACCAGGAGAACTAGTAAGAATACAGAGTATCATAGATAAAGAACAGTATTTGGCTATTCTTAAAAATAATATAAAACAAAGTACACGAAAGCTGTTTTGTGGATATCACTGAACGTACTAGCATGACAATTGGCCGAATTGTTACGAAATACTTAGATGGCAGCAAAATTATGATATTGGCGTACCCCGTACAAACCCCAAATTTATGGGTAAATTTATGGGTAAAAATGGGTAGAAAAAAGCCATTTGGAGGAACTAGAGGCTATTACCAAGTAAGACTGAAGAAAAATGCCTATTAACGTGTGTAGTGATCTTGTAAATAACTATAAAAAATGATTAAGGTAATAATCAAGAATAAAGGTTACACAATTGATTATTGAGAAAAAAAGGGCCAATAATTTTGTCCTATGTTAAATGTTTGGGGATGTTTTTTTTGTATTATTGTTTGATATTAAAAATAAAAACATTGTTGTGAGCATCACTGCTCATTCTTTCAAATCAATTATTTAAATTTATGAAAAAATGCACATTAAGTTTCCATGTAAATTTGAGGTACTACAGCTATATTCATAATTATGAAAGGTGAGGATAGTTCTATCCATCATCATCATCCCCTTGACTTTTGTAATCTTACTGGCGTTCCGAATACAGAAGCCATATTGAATCTCCTCCACAACGGTCTATCAACGGCAGCCATCAGCAATTCTGGTGTAGTCATACTTGTCCCATGTTTGACATTGTCCAACGAGTTTTTGCGTTGGCGTCCTCTCCTACGTCTACTTTCAACAGTGTCTTGCAGTAGTGCCATGCATGATGGTCTTGCACAGGCTGTCGTGCTTTTTTAACGTGTCTAAACCACGTCATGTTTCTCCGGCTGACAGTGTTGAAAAGAGGTTATTGGTGATCCACAAAATCTTTAACCCTTTTCCGCATAAACTCATTGTGTTTTATGTTTCCAATAAAAGATGAGTTTTGTAATCGTAAGGGGAGATCCGAATGCAGAAGCCATATTGAATCTCCTCCACAAGAGTCTATCAACGACATCCACCAGCAATTCTGGTATAGTCATACTTTTCTATTGTTTGACAATGTCCAACCAGTTTTTTGGTTAGCGCCCTCTCCTACGTCCACCCCCAACGGTCCCTTGCATGATGGTGTTGCACATGCTGTCGTACTTTGTAACGCGTCCAAACCATGCCATTTTTCACCATTTGACAGTGTCGAGAAAAGGTTTCTGATGGCCCACAAAACTTTCAACTCTTTTCCGTACATTGGCTTTATGTTTTCAATTTTTTTCTTTATGTCGATTTGGTTCACGATCAACCAAAGATCTTTGTTTAAGATATTTTTAGATTTAAATTTTCAGCTACCTGCATCATGTTTATGGTTTCCGAGGACAATTTGAACATAAATTGCAATATACCATATTGAATGAACCTGAAATTCTGGACTGATTGTTTTATTGCCTTATCAGCACTTTGCAGGTTATTTAAAGAAAGAAAATATTTTTGATTGTAATATTTTTTTGAGATAATAATGACTATTTTTTTTAATGATATGAATACTAATTAACCCATAGCTGGGGAGAAGAAGTGGATTCATGCCTTTTTCTAAAGATATTTGAGCACATCCATGCTTCCAACACCTGGTATTCCCAAGTGCTCACCCATCTAGGTACTGACCAGGCTGGACGTTGCTTAACTGCAGGGATCTTACAAGAACAGTTGTTTGAACGTGATGTGGCCGTAAGCGCTGGAATTCCGAAGGGAAAGAATTCTGAAGTGTCTCCGTTGATGCCCTCCCTACTTTTAAAGAAATTTCTTCCCAATCATTTACGTTTCGTCCTTCAGGACCTCATTGTGCGAACTTTGTTATGTTGGTATGATTACACAGGTGCACGAACGAGGACAGCGGGGGATTTTAGGATTTTTAGAATTTTTTACCCAATATTGTTCTTGATAGATAAAAATATAATCTTAATATATAAAATATTATCTATATATATATATATATATATATATATATATATATATATATATATATATATATATATATGATAAGATAATGAATAAGTATGAAACATCTTAATCTAATTTTCACTGTTTTGAAGCTTCGTCAGAGATCATTTCTATCTTGATTTCTGAAAAAGCTTTAATAAAATGAAACATATTAGATTAAGATCTGTTTTCTACTTGTTCTCTATTCTATCATTTTGTCGGATTAGTATCCATATTCGATATACATATATATATATATATATATTTATATATATATATATATATATGTGTGTGTGTGTGCGTGTGTGTGTGTGTGTGTGTGAAAAGTGTATATAAATATAAATAAATCTATATATGTATAATTAGTTATATATTATATGCGCAGTACTTATTAGAAAGCGCTCAATATCAGAGATAGCTAACATATTTGGTTGGATAGATGTGAGTTTGTGAGCCTGGGTTTGTCTGACGATCGCTAAAGCGTGAAACCCAGGGTCACAAACTCACATCTATCCAACCATATATATATATATATATATATAAACATTAAAACAGCATAATTAAATATTAGGATTTTTGGTTGTTTTTCCGTATATTTTTCTTCATACTGTCGGATCTATATCCATATATTTGCTTATATATATATATATATATATATATATAAAAGTGCACATTGAAGTCAACCCAACACACATTTTTACTACGTTAATAATACACCAATTAAAATAAAAATAAATAAATATATATATAAGATAAGAAATAAAAATAAATAAAAACAAGCAAAATAATTTAACCCAAATAAATAAACAAATAAACGCCTTCCGGCAAAATAGACTACCCACAATGCACCACTGACCCGTATATATAAATAGCCGAGAAAAAACAACACTCGTGGCCTGGCGATTGCGTCTAGCATGAAACAACCTGTCGCCTCTGAGTGTTGACTTCAATGTTCCTTTTATATTTACATATGCTCTATCTCTGATATTGAGCACTTTATCCATATATATATATGTATATATATATATATATATATATATATATATATATATATATATATATATATATATATATATACTTTTAAATCTGGAGGTCAGTTGAATCCGCTACCTTGGTTTCAGCCTTATGATTTAAAAAGAAGAAATAACAACAGGCATCCGATTATAATATGGTACATTTTGAAAAAGGCAAAGTCTTACGACAATCACAATATCTGCAACCTCTGCCAACAAGATAAATTAGAGATTATGACATTTCCGGATCCAAATCACCTTTTAAACCAGAAATCCGAAGACTTAAGTCATTTCTTACATATTTGTTATAGTTGAACACACCTATTCTTTACTTAATAGACTCTCCCACCTATAATAAGTAGGAGTAGAAATAGTAACGAGAAGTCGCGCAGGGGTCGGTCAGTCAATCGATGCCGGACGACCGTGAGTCGGATACTAAATTATCAGCGACCAGAACTAGATTTCTCTGCGTCATTACCTATTATATGAAGTTCCTAACGTTTTGTACGTCGAACCTATTTTAGGAACGACTTAGTACAAATACAAGCCTCCACTATGAAACCACTCCACAACAATATTACAAATTTTTTTCTTAAGCGCATATGAGGCTGGATAAAAAGAAGTAATGTATATTTCCATTACCACCCCCGCCACCAATACACTTCTTCTTCTTCTTCTTCTTCTTCTTCTTCTTCTTCTTCTTCTTCTTCTTCTTCTTCTTCACATCCTCCTTCTCCCTTTCTATTACACTAAACATCATGTGTTTGTATATTTTTGAAAATAATAATGTAGCGTCCATTAGTTTTTAAAAAATAAAGAATTAAGAGGACATATGATAAAAATCGCCATAGGACACCGTAAGGTTGAAACCACGGTAGCTGATTCAACTGACCCCTTGAATTTTAAAATTAAAAGCTCTACATGTTATTTTTATTTTTTTTAACTTGTATTCAGCACTTTTAATACTACTGTTTCCTGGTCCGAATCAACTCTGACCATTGACCTTTTACGTGTATATATATATATATATATATATATATATATATATATATATATATATATATATATATATAATACGGTATATTTAGTCAGCAAGTATTCATCGAAGCAAGTTTAATTAAAAAATCGATAATGTCTGTCTGTGTAATTATTTTATTGTGTTTTTCCACTTATCGAATAACGTGTTGAGTATATGTTGAGTGCTCGAAATTGTGAATAAACTCTGCGAAGTCTACATTGTGTTATTGCATTGTTCAAGAACTTTCGACCGTCTCAGGCATTTTCAAGTATCAATGTGATTATCTTCCGTTTTGTAGGCAGAATTCCTTTGTCTACATACTGGTATTCTTTGAAAAGTTTGAAGTATATATATATATATATATATATATATATATATATATATATATATATATATATATATATATATTAAAGAAAAACAGACCACTTTAAGGTACGATTATAATAATTTATTTCACCAGAGCCCTTTTAAAGGACGCTGGATCATCAGATAGCACTTCCAAAAATGAAATGAAACGAAAAATGAAATTAAAATTGATGGGTAGTGTAAGTTTTTTGTAATTTAACAGAGAGTGTAAAAGGGGTAGTTAAAGATACATGGTAGAGTATAGGGAGGGCTTAATTTCATATCTCTCTCAAGCATACTTAGTATTGGGGGAGGAGGAGTGACCAGACCTTGACCTATTTAGACGGTTATTATCATTATATATATATATATATATATATATATATAAAATGATAATCATGTACTCTCCCGTCGGTTTCGACGTATGAGGATCTGACAACAATTGATTGAGTTATGAAATTTAGTGCAATAATATGCGATGTGTCACTTAAGACCCGCTAGTGATTTACAAAGGAGGCCGCATATAGAGCAAGAGTGAGGATTGTGGGATGAAATCACTGTTAGATTGACTGAACTTTTAGATCTTGCTCTCGCTTCTTGAAGATGATTCAGACCACTAATACAAATTGATCTCCATTCTATCCGCTCCAAGACTAAGCGCTCGCGGGTGTTATGAGGTATATTGACAGCTGAGAATTTGACCTTCAGCTTGTCTTTGTATCTTAGCCATGGGCGTCCTAGATTCCTGTAGCCCTGGTCTAACTGGCTGTACATTAGGAAATAATCTGTAAAAAATGTTATAAAGTTTAATGTACCTAGTTTTAAGTATAGCTAAAATAAGTAATGTGATTTCTGGCATTACCGTAAATCAGTTGGCAAATATTTTCCGTGAACTGCAAAATCGTATTACCCTTTGCATTGCTAATGATGAAGGACATGTGGAAACTTAAATAAAATTTCAATAAAACCTTAAAAAACATAGCTCTATGGACACACTATATATATATATATATATATATATATATATATATATATATATATATATATATATATATATAGTGGGTAACAAAAAGTATTTAACACATTGGTTTTCTTACATATCTCAAAAATAACAGATCAATTTCAACGAAACTTATAGGAAATATTTAAACGAACATTGTCGATCAAAACACAGAAGGAAAATTTAAAACCACTGTTTTGAGAAACATTTATTAACAATAAATAAAATAACCAATGCAAATATTATGCTAGAAGAGACGTGTCGTCATGATTCCTACCCATATTGATATGATGTGATATGTCGACCAATGACAGCACTGCACGACACTCAACTGGCTATTAGATAAAAGCTCTGAGACACTGCAGCTATTCTGTTGCCACTACTGCAAGAAAATGGTGAAAACAAAAGAATTGTCGAACGACATGCGCAAGAAGATCATAAAGAATCACAAAGATGGTAAGGGATATAGAAAAATCGCTCAAGATTTGAATTTGCTTGTGAGTACAGTTGGTGCTGTTCTTCGAAAATGGAAAAAATTCGATACTATTGAAAACATTCAAAGGAGTGGTTGTCTCCGCATCTTAAATGAGGCTAATGAGCGATACATTTCCCGTACTGTGAAGAAAAATCCATTTTCAACTCGTCGAGAAATTCAGAATGATTTGAAAAATGCCGGAACTAAAGTTAGTAAAAATACAATTAAAAGATCACTGAATCGTGCAGGTCTCACTTCAAGATCACCGACATTATTGAAACGCCGACGTGTACAACCCCGTTTGAATTTTGTAAAGAAATATGAAATTGAATCTAATGATTTCTGGGAGAAAGTAATTTGGTTAGACGAAACAAAAAATTGAGCTTTACGGACGAAACATACGCACTCATGTATGGAGGAAAAAAGAAGCGGAATACGAGCCAGCAAATACCATCCCTACAGTCAAACATGGGGGTGGAAATATTATGATGTGGGGTTGTTTTTCCTCAAATGGAGTAGGAAAATGAAAATCATCGACGGAACAATGAATGCTGCAAAATACACTCAAATTTTGTCAATTCAACTCTTGAACAGTACCACATCTTTGGGACATGGTCGTGATTTTGTATTTCAGCAAGACAATTACCTGAAGCATACTGCTAAAACAACTAAGAATTGGTTTAATAATAATGACATTAATGTCCTGGAATGGCCAAGCCAGTCACCGGCTTTAAATCCAATGGAAAATTTGTGGAAACTATTGAAGTTACGATTTCATAAAAGAAATACATCGAATTTAAACGAATTGAAGAAAATTTGTGAAGAAGAATGGGTCAAAATACCAACAAGTACCTGCAAGAAATTAGTTGAAGACTACGGGAAACGACTGGAGGCTGTGAAG